AGATCTGTGTTGGAAGAAGTGTAGCCAGTGTGTTCCTTGGAGGCTAGGATGTCCAAACTTCATCCCTCATATTTTGGCCATATTGTCAGGAGGGACCAGTCATGGGCTAAGGATATCATGTTTCATAAGGTGGAGGGTGAGAGAAAAAGAGGAAGACTCCCAGCGAGAAGGATTGGCCAAGTGGCAGCATCAGTGGACTCAAGCGTGACAACAATTGTGAGGGTGGACCAGGACCAGACGGTGCTTAATTTGTTGTGCAAAAAGGTCTGTATGAGTTGATACCAACTCGATGGCACCTAACAACAACAAAGCAACCATTTCAGAGGTCTCTTTGATCATCTTCTGGGTGTTTTCTCAAGAGTTTATCATTGTTCTTAGAATAGTGGAACACTGAAAAATGAGAAAAATGTTGAGACCACAAGTTATTATACCTTGCTTTGATAGACAATTTATTGGTACTTGAGGTTGATCATTTATCTATATGTTGGATAGCAAATTTTATTTCCATATTTGTTGTTTGCTGCTTCATGAAAGTTTCTCACTTCTCCTCTAAATTGCTTGAGAACATACACTTCAAATGTACTTATATGTTTTCCAGTTATGATTAGTACAAATAACTTCCCAGGTGGTTGTACTTCTTTTAGTGTTGTTGGTTTTATTCTAGTGCTGTTAAAAAATGGTTTCCCTCTATCTTTCATAAAATATTTCTGGCTACTAGGTGGAATAGGTGACTGATGATTTCATGGTTTTGTACTAATATATGACATTTTATAAACATTGAGACAGTGGTAACAGTTTTATTTTATTTTATTTTAGGTTCAGGTTCTTCGGAATGCTGGAGAAGAAGTGACCTTAACAGTATCGTTTTTAAAAAGAGCACCTGCTTTCCTCAAACTCATCTTAAATGAAGATTGTGCATGTAAGCCATTATGAAGAGTGGTCACAATGCTCACATCATCATTTTCCCTTCCTAACCTTTATTTTCAGACAGTAATTGGCAAGCTCTTTTGAAATTGGAATTCCTCCTGGAATATAAACATATTTACATCACAAGGTGCTCTATTAACCCTCATAGAGGAAAAGGGAAGATGCTATTCAGAAGTTATTTATTACACTTGGAGATGTTTTGCAACCTTAGGATTGGAGAAGCATATTTATTTAAAAACTGCATACCATACCAAATATATACACTTTACTTGTTGCTGTTGTTAAGTGCCATTGAGTCCATCTCAGAGTGACCCTACGTAGCATTTCCGAGGAGTCACTGGTGGATTTGAACTGCTGACCTTTTGGTTAGCAGTTCAATGCTTATCTTACAGCATCACATTTAAAATTTTTAATTCACGATATTTAGTGAATACATTTTCTCTAGCCAGAAAATTGTTGTTGTTGTTCTATGCCATAAAGTTGGCTATGACTCAGTGGGACCCTAAACACAAAAAAAAACAAAACACTACACTGTTCTGCATTATCCTCACAATTGTTGCCATGTTTCAGCCCATTGCTGCTGACATTGTATATATCCAACTAGTTGGCGATTTTCCTCTTTTTTGCTGACCTTCCGCTTTAGCATGCATAATGTCCTTCTCAAGGGGCTAGTCCCTCTTGATAGTGTGTTCAAAGTAAGAAAGACAAAGTTTTGCTATCTTTGCTTCTAAGGAAAATGGTCCCTGTACTTCTTTCAAGACAGATTTGTTTGGTCTTTTGATAGTCAATGGTATTT